TTGAAGTACTGTATCTTGTGTCTCCGCAACAGAATCCAATTAACCCTTTGCAAATAACAAAGGAGTTTTTCTTATGTAATTATAGATGTGTATATACAGTGGCCACTTACACTGTTTTTCAGAGACCACCATCACTCATTTTTCTTGATTTCAGGAGGGAAAATATGCGAAATTACAGGGCATAATAGATTTACAGGATTTGGAGGACTTAAATCTAAGGCTCTATGCCTTTTAGGCTTATCCCTCTCACTGCGTACTTTTTTTTATCAAAATAGGTTCAAAAATTGTGTATTTTTTATTACATATTCAAATCTACATATATTTAGAGTTAACATATACAAAAATGTTTTGTAAAAGAGGTTTTTTTTTCCAATATAGAATTAGATCACAGAAAAAGGGTTGCCAGAATACTGAAATTGAAGAATAATTACCGTATTCGACTGGCATATAAGACGCATTTTTTTTTCCTAAATTTGGTCTCAAAAAAGTTACCTGTGTCTTATACGTGAAGGTAAAATTGCATTCAATAATGTTTTTGGCTTTTACGAAACGTGATAACTAAAAGAAAACCATATTGAAACTTTTTTTTCCTTGTGGTGGGCCGTCTAAATGAGGGTGCGTCTTATATGCCAGTGCGTCTTGTATGCCGTCAAATACGATATATAAAGGAAAATTTTGAAATTAATATTGGTTAATTATGATTTATTTTAAAATACAAAGGTAAAACATATATACTAATGAAAAATTTACATAACATAATATTTTGCATATCAATTTTTGCACCACTCTCGACCGTTTTCAATAAAAACTGAATTTTCAGATTCATCACTATCTGCAGAGGAATCTGAGAAATTCTCATCAGTTTTTCGCTATAACTATCTTCAATATACTTGAAATCACAGTCAAAACTACTATCAGTGTCACAAGTATCGTGTAATATAGGTTATATCACTCGTGAAACATTTCCTGCCAGACATCTTTGAGCTCTGAAAAGTGTGCGCAAATGCTACATTATATATTCTTGTATATTTGGCAGAAATGTGGACAACTAACGCCATCCGCTAGCCCACATCTAAATAAACAATTTATATCACAGAAAAGCCGAAAGAAAACCTTGAATGGGGAAAGAGTGGGTTGCACAGTTAAATAGACATAAATATTCATCCACGTTGAAATCGCAGGTTGCGCAAATTTTGCTACTTCTGTGTTGCCTGTGGAAATTGCGGGATGCGCAGCGAGAGGGTTAATCAATACTCAGGCTAAACTGAGGAAAGAGTTTAACTTCACTTTGCATTTTCGTTCTTTTGAATTCTACTGGATAGTACAATTCACACAATAGCAGAAATAAAATTCACATAAATTAAGTAAAAAATTTAAGAAAATTATTACATTACTTGTATTGAGAACAAAGAAATAAATCATAATCTGCATTCTGCATGCATACTGAAATCTTTTCAGATGGGAGCAAACTTTTCATATTAATAGACTTACCTACAGTGCTCAAAAAAGGATGCAAAGGAAGAAAATCATATAATGAGAAAAAAATTGCACTGCATTTATGACAATTATTATGAATTTTTGGTATGTATGTATTTTCCCACAGATAATGAAAGCTGGCAGAAATCCCGCTAACTTCCATGGTTGGTGCACACACAAAAATGGCGAACTGGAGCCAATCGCACAACGGAAGTTTCAAGGAAAAAATGGTTTATTTTATTTGGTTAATTATCAATAGATACAAGTTATACACATAATATATAAAAATTTTTAATATATTAGCTCAAGTCTTGAGATTATCTGACAAAAAAAATTCATTAACACTTATTCCAGTCATTTTGGCAGCTCAAGATCCTTACGGCATTAAAATCGCAACAAAATAATTATTACTGTGAATTTGGTGCATGTTACATGCTCACCTTTTTTCACACTAGAAGCCCATAATTTTGAAAATGATTCCTGTACTGTAGACAGTAGGTTCCAAAATTTATCACTTCAGGTCTCATTTTATCACTGCAGGTCAGGAAAAGAATCATCATTTTCATCAAGCGAAAATTGAGAAATAGTAGAGTGTGATTTTAATGATTTTAATATTCCAAAGATTTCAGTTACAGAATTTATTATTTTTCAAGCACATATTTTTATTTGAAGTCTCTTCTATCAGCTTATGCAACAGTGAACTTTAAAAGAAACAGATTAAGAAGGCTGCTGAAAACTATATGTATGGAAAAGGTTTACTTCGAAAGAACATTATTTGTGTTGATGTTTGAATATTTTTATTTGTACTCTTCCAATATATTTTACTATAATAAGCTTTTAATTACTGTATTGTACGTTAAATATGAAACAGAATTACTATAACTAAAATTAAATTATTCCAAAGATTGATTTAATGTTAATTCCTTTATTAAAATTTCATATTTTTTCATTTTCATTTCCTAAAATTTCTTATCTGCGCAACTTCAAATCAATCATTTTAACATAAAAGTAAATAAATTATATTCATGTTTGTAAATACCACATTAGTGTTGAAAAATTAAGCCAAAAAAGTTTAACATTTGGAATTAAAACTTAATATTAATATCGTGATATAAAATATCGCTCCAATTTCAAACATGGAGATGAAACGTTATAACTCAAACAATTGAATAAGAAACCTTTTCATGATAATCGCTCCGAGTTGTATAATACTTGTAAATCACAAAATTTGAGAGTCACTTGAGAGGACAAGTATCCAAAGTTAACTTGAACCTATGAAATGGTTTTGAGGACTATAGATTAAATAAAAATCAGTCCAAGTGGGCAAACAATTTAATATGCATTGAAAAATCTGATCAGTCAAAACGAGTATCAGACATATGTTTGAAATGACAAGAAGATGTTAATAAAGAAACTTTGTCCTATCTTTCTTACATTGTAGATCACATATCACTCCCTATTATATCTCCGATGACTCAATTTAACGCAGTATCGTCACTGCTATATTTCCTTTATGTGTTCTACTGTGCTTGTTGGAATGCAAAAATTACGATGAAATTTCTGTTTATATCATTTGCATATTTATCATATTCATTCTTTCAGTTTTATTTTAGATTATGATCTTTATGGTTAAATACGTTTTAGTAACAGATGGGAGTGATAAAAAATTTCTCGTAAAAATGAAAGATAAATTCTTACTAATTTCGTATTATAGCAGTTGGTGCAAAGTTTCAAGAGAACCTTGTCTCTCATAAAATGAGATAAACCTATTATACAGCAAAGAATGGCCCCTCTGAGCTTTACAAAATTTTTTATGGATTAGTAACTTCTATGTAAATTTCCTTTGAATTAGTAACTTCTATGGATTAGTAACTTCTGTGTAAATTTCTTATGGATTAGTAACTTCTATGTAAATTTCCTTTGAATTAGTAACTTCTATGGATTAGTAACTTCTGTGTAAATTTCTTATGGATTAGTAACTTCTATGTAGTATTTGCACTCCCAGTCCATTTATCACTACTTTATGTACAGACATCATACAAGAACGACAATGATATATCCATTTATTGTTTCATAAATAATAACGATGATTATATGTGTTATGCGAAAGCAGACCAGTTGATACTACCCGCAAAGTAAATTAATTTTTCGCATGCAATGATCATCAATTATCAAGTATGAAGATATACTTTACTTAAAATTCATTGTTATTTAAAACATGGAATTGGCTAGACGTCATGCGCTGGCCACATCAGATGTTTTCTTTATAATATTGTCTTTTTCGTGTTGGCTAAGCTTTAGTGAAACTGGTTATTTAAGATTTCATAATTCTCAGCTAGCCTGTTTTGGTACCTGATTTTTCAACATGAGTTGAAGAACTTTGTAATTGTATTACATTTAACATAAAGGTAACATATAAAAAAATCCGCATATTTTATGGCGTGCAGCATGGAGCAAATGCGATTTGAATTTGATTTTCTTCTTGGCACTTTTCGTGTAAATTAAGAAAGTAACAGAATATTGCAACTATACTCAGCTTTATTACCATTTCATGTGTTACTTATGATTGTAAATTAAAAAGAAAGCGATTTAACGTCAACTTAAGCAGCTTCACTTACCATACATTATTCAGTCAAGAAATTTATTTCAAAGAGGACCTCATCGTTATTATTTTTATTCTACAACATGTATCCTTTTTATACATGCTTCAATCAGCTTATTCTATAGGGTGCGGCAGCGTTCATAGCGTAGTTTGACTTGCGTATCCCAATGACGTACTGCATGAATGCGCGCCAGCTCGTGCCGCATTCGTGTACTAATGAGCTGCCATTTCGAGTGTGACAGTGATATGGATCGTTGGAGTGCACAGCATCATGCCTTTGCTGTTTAAAGTTATCTCAAAAATAACTACTCTGTTATTGCTACCCAGCGTCTATTTCGGCAATATTTCAACTTGGGACGTTATGGGAAAGTTCCAGATGGACGGACCATTGCGACAGACATTTCCAGGTAGAGTAATTTCCCGTTTTGGGGACATTTCCTAGCCGCCTCGCTCACCTGATCTTTCATGTGCAGACTTTAGGGGCACCTGAAGCAAGACGTTTTCCGAACACGTTGTGCCACCATTCCTGAGTTGAAGGATCGCATCCGAGCTGCCGTCGGTAATGTCCCAGGGAATATGTTGCGCCGAGCTATGGCAAGCTTCCAACGCCGCCTAGATGAATGTTTTGTGCAGAGGGGGCATCATATTCAAAAAGTAATCCACGCAATGGACAATGACTTACACATTAGTAAATGGCATACCTTTAATTATTAATTGATATAAGAGGCAATAAATAAAATTTCTGCCTTATGGTGTGTTTTTAATATCCTCCTATGAACGCTGCCGCACCCTATAGAAACTACTACTAAATATAATTCATCTTTCTCTCAGATTTGAAAATAAGTTTCTGTATTATTTTTAAATACTCGTTAAAAAAGTGCTCCAATATTATTTTTATAGCTTAATAATCATTTTTATATTTCAGCTCAACTTTACTTCACAATAGCTTTTGCTGCGATCAAACCATTTTTATCCGGCCCAACAGCCAAGAAAATTCATATTTTTGGAAAAAGTATGCTTGTATTTATTATCATTTAGAAATTTCTGAACAATTTAAAGCCCTGTACTGAAGATCTAGTCTAGTCTAACTGCGGTAATTACAATGACTGAAATTCTAGAATTTTATTGAGATATTTAGGATTGTTATTCTAAGAAAATACAAGTGTTAAGCAACGAAACTTAAGCACTTAACGAAACACTCCAAGTATTATGCTAGGATGTACATTTCCGGTTGTGGTTCTGAAAGTGTTCAAATTGTATTAACAACAATATTGCGCGGAGTTTGAATCTTCATGAATATTAGAGGTTTTAACTTCAAACAATGGGACATAGATGGGATATGTGTGTATAAACGATGAAGTTCAGAAGATAACAATGCGTAGTCGTCTGACTGCTGTATCAGTTACCAAAAGAGAAGGCCTTTTGGATGCGTCGAGAGCCACAAATCTCAAGGTAATAGTTCTACAAATTGAAAAAGAAAAAGAACTTTCATCACTGAGGTAAAAAGAAGTTATCTGAAAAGGATATTTGAATTTTAAAAAGAATTATATAAAGCGAGGGGTACTGAATTTATGACAGAATATTTCTTGAGTTCAGTTTTTCTACAAACTACCTGTTGGGACAATATTTACTATCGGATTCACCTTTGAAAACCAGTCTGTTTGAAGAACACTTGTTTCCGTACTGCCAGAGGTACAAACTTTTAGACACTACACATTGCAAAATGTGTATTGTTCATTGATGAGTTCACCTTCATCATCCTTCTCATGTCCTGTGAGTACTTGCCTGGAGAGATTTCCTTCAGATGTGGATGATTGGGACTGTGCAACAGATGAATCACCGATGACATTCTGGGCCGCAGTATTATGGAAATGTCTGGAAATACAGACTTTTCACAATCAAGAACTGTCTACATATCTAAGAGACAAAATTAAAATTCACCAATTTCTTCAAACTCTGTACCTCACAAGGAGCTGCCATGTTGATTTGAAGAATATGAAAGTGGACTTGAATCTCTTTCTTTTCATGAGTTCATTTAATCGAAACAACACTGAACCCCTGTAAGGTATAACAGAAGATAAATTTGAAAATATTTTCGTTCTCACCATCATTAAGGAAAACTGACACTGTTTTCAAGGAGAATGGTTACAAGGACTTGCATCGATCACTTCTGAACGATGAGTACTGACATCTAAAATAAAGCCTATACCGTATTACGAAAATATTACATTAAGATGTAAATATTTCAGTTGCATTATCGAACGTCTGTATTTTTTAAGTTTACTTTTGATAATTGGCTTATTTTGTTACAATATTTAGAATTCTAGGAATCAAGTTATATGTTTAAATGAATTATTTAGATGTTACTTATAATTATTAGTTATAATTGTAATTATAGGTGTAGTAATTGAATTGTACATGTTGTAAGTTTTCTACCGAACTTATTTCTATCGAATCTATCTGGCTATTTTATAACATGCTTTGAAACCCATTGCAAAATATTAAGTTCCTCCTAATACTCGTTCTTTGAAGATTAGCCTATTTTATCTATATATTGTTGTTCATTCGAGACACATTTAAGCACAGTATGTTTACTAAATGAAAATAATTAATTACTTTTCCTTTTGTCTTTCAGTAAAATAAATAAATCTTTTGGTAATTTACTTCTCAGTAATTAACAAATATGGTAAGCTGTCTATTTACATTGTATTTACAAAATTATGACGTAGCAATTTAGTGCTATATGCCAAAGGGATATGGAGGAGGCTTTCTTAAGGAAAAGACTCATATTAATGTTACACATGTAAAAAAAGTATGGAAACTCTCATATATTCAAACTCGTCGGCTAGGATTTGAACCCGCTCAAACTATCTCTGTTCAACTGTCTCATTAACTCAACAGCTCGTTCTAAGTTATCTGAATGGCTTGTTTTTTCAAGACAATTTATAAAATTGCTAACAGTTTGTGAAAAGCGTCTATGTAAAATGCTTCTAAGAGTTTCTTTTGAAGTTCTTTTTTTCCCTTATACTTTCACACATTTGTGTGTAAAAGTATGTTTTAAACTTCTTCCTGTTTCAAAGCACTTTGTCGGAGAAGCCTTACCCATCTTTAGGAATCATGGAAGTTTATTTATTTATTTGAATATCCTATGCATTATTTTTATCTGAATAAAAGTATAAAATTTTTAATTTTCGAATGTAATTAATATTGGTAATGTAAAATAATTTTTTTAAATGATAATAAAAAAAATAAATATTTTGTAGCAGCTTCTAATCTTTTGCGTTATTTTTGGGTGGAGAGATGTTTTCAATATAAAATATTTTTTCACTAGAGAATCTTCATAAAATAGACTCCCACCGTTAATGTTTGTTCATACAAAGCATCAGAATATGCTTGTCAAGTAAACATATAAATGTACATAAAGTAATTTTAACGATGTTCATATCATACTGTAAATGCAACGAAAAAAACAGATCCTAAACCGAAAATATTGTGTTTTTTTTTTTTTTTTTTTTTTTTTTTTTTTTTTTTCTTAAGGAAACTCTTTCACATTTTATTTTTTCAAGTTTTAAAATTAAATTTGCCTGCCGGAAATATTTATATTAAAATATTTCTAAATTTACGTTACCTTTTGATGCAATAAAAAATTTGCTTTTCTTCTTATATAACAGAGAGCAATAAAGAGTGAATGCACGTTTAAGGTAAATAAGTAAATTCAGTTATTCATGTACCTCCGAAGTTTAGTTTAGAAAATTTTTGGTGTGTATGAGAATTATACTGTAGGGGTTAATATTGAAACGAGGCAGTTTAGAAAGATTAGATGAGTAGAGATATAATGTGTTATTATAAATTGAAAGTAACATTTAATATCTTTTACTTCAAACCTGGTAAATAAATCACCAATACGAATCGTTAATTAAGCTGTTGTAGTAATACACAATGCGAAATGGAAAGACTATATTATGAGTTTCTATAAGCCACACAAGCAGGAAAGGATATAAATAAAATAAGCGCTTTAAATTATTTCTTAGTTTTGTTTCTTTAAATATGAATAGTATTGCTAAGCCACAAGTTAAAACTCATAGAATTTTTTTCAGAAAACGACGTTATTTTGAACACTTGTTTTTTTAAGATGGTCAAATACATTACATTTAAATATTTTGGCGAAACACTCGAATATATATTAAACTGAAATAACAACTTATGTTTTCAGATGGATGGAAAGAAGAGTTATTGAAACATATTGATGCTGATGTTTTACCAGCTTTTCTGGGTGGTACGCGCACTGATCCCGACGGTAATCCAGCATGTAAAACATTTGTAAGTATAATTTTTACTTTTTTTTATAGGATTCAAGAAGTAAACATAATTTATAAATATATTTTTTTATTCTGGTATAACATCAGATAATTAGGAACACGTTTTACCAGGCAATACATGACTGTCTTTCTCTTTTATTTGAGATTCAAAATTAATATCTTCATCGTTGTAGATATAAATAGCGTGACATGAACATAATGAATAGGATGTTCAATCATTAAGAAAACCTCCATTTTTTTTTCTTCTCAACATGTTTTGCTTCGGCCTGAATAGGAAGATTTTTTTACTCTTCTAGAAAACAGTAAACCAAAGCACTTCAATTTACGAATATTTTGAATGATAAACGGCCTACAGAAACGAATGATAGTCATGAAAGCATCAGACATGATTAATCTTTATTTTATAATAAATACTTTTTAAAAGGAAGTTATCTACCAATTGCTGGTAATGAATATTAAATATAACGTAATTTCAAGCAGATTATAGATACTTTTTAAACAATCGGAAAGAAGCTTCATCGAGGCGTTTTATTTTTTATCGCGGTAGTAGAAGATATTGTTTCTTCCAAGTGTAAGAGTTTTAGATAAGGCTCGACGTTGGTCCTGTTGGCTCAATATTAGGCATATCCGCATATCGGAAGAGAAGTTATGACTCCTTGTTGCTAAAACAATCAACTGTAATTATACAACTTGTTGGTAAAAACACAGACGTAAAATCATGATACTTGAACTTTACAGAACAAGATGGTAAAGACTATTTGTTGTCAGCTGGTGGCACGTGCATCTGTTGAGAAATAATGTGACCACAGGTAGCGGCGTGCGCAGCTAAAAATAACTACAAAGGAAACCCTTTTTGCAAGGTTCGTACACAAGAAATGCAATGAAATAAATTTATGATTACGTCCTGAGTAATTAAGTAATTAAGTCTTTTCTGCATTAGAAAAGTATACAAGTCCCTACTTGAATCAATTCGTTATGAAATAATATCGCAGCAATTTTTTAATCATTTGGCTTTGCCGTGTTGAGCAGATCCTTTTGTATAGTCTATAAGGCATTTGTTTGAGAAGGAAACACAAAAAATATGCAATGCCATAGCCAGAACACGAACTCTTGACCTTCCTATGTTAGCCAGACGTGCTTGCCAATTATACCCCGATGGTAAGGAAGTAGAAAAACTTACAATTTTAAATAACTTTCGATATCTCGCATAGTTAATTTCTGGACAATTAGTTCTTAAACTAGTGGGCCTATAGTAAATGCTTAATTTAAAATAAGATCTGCATACTAAGATCATATTGCAATGCCTTTTTAATCCTCTGATTGTTTTATTTTTTATTTTAAAAATAATTTTTGCGTCTTTGAAGCTGAAATATTCAGAGTATTGCTTCAACATAATTTTATTCATTTTAATTTTAGAAAGGTCTTTTGGGCAGTTAAAATATGGCCATGATAGTAGATATGATCTTTCGGAGCATTTTATGATGCATACCTGTCTAAAATAGATTTCTTAGCGTCAAAGAAAACTTAAGATAAGTTTTAACGCGATAAATTTTTATTACAGTCACATAGCTGATTATAAATGCAAAAATGCCACAAATTATGATTATTTGATCCTTTGTGCATATTGCATAACCCAATAGAAATGCTACAGTGAAATTATAAGACTCTGGTAAACAACATTTATTATAATTTCGCATATTTGAATATTTACTTTATATATGCATAATAATACAATAAAAAATTTCTGAATGTATCGAAGATTCTCACATCCCCAGAAATATGAAAAATATTATTAATATGGAAAAGCAGAAATTTACAAAATCTTTAGCGACTTATAGCAGAAATGTAAGATGTGGTAATATATTATCTTATCAATATTTAGCTAAATATAACTTAAATATCTTATGTAATTATGCTAAAATGTTATCTGTATTTTAAGCAAAGCTTAACTCAATGTGAAAGCAACGTAAAATGATATAATTTAAGTTTACATTTATATTTATGCTATAAAATTTAAATAGCTGTCTCTTTTAATGTCCTGAACATGTGATGGTTGAATTTCACTTTTTTCTTTCCCCCTTCGAAAATTTTCCTGTAGATCAATTATGGAGGGCTGGTCCCAGAATACTATTATATCCGCAGATCAGGCAAGGAGTTTTCTCAACTTCCTGGAATCAAGAAATATACTGTGGCAAGAATGTCTAAAATTGAATTAATCATGACCGTAAATGAGCCTGGTTCATTAATTGAATGGGAATTTGAAACAAATAAAGATATTGGTTTCTCTTTGCTGTACAAAGAGAATAATACGGAGGAAACCAAGGTTAAAGAACTCATTCCGAAGCAAAGAATTCATACTTGCATATCGGAAGAGACAGGAGTGTTCAAATGCGAAAGACCTGGCATCTGTAAGAATTTACCTAATAATCTTGTCTTTTAATAACATTTTAAACTCCTTTTTAAAATTATTAGGATAAACTATGGCATCTATATTAAGGTTATAAGGTATTTCTCCCGCCTTCTTAACGAGCCTTCGGGGTGTAGTGATCTGCACGCTCAGCGCGTAATTGAGAGGTCCGCGATTCGATTCCCGGCGAAGGCGTTGCATATTTTTCATCTTTCTTGTCTCCAAATAACCTAATATCTCTACAGTGGCGCTGGAACTAAAAAAAATGATGTTGGATCATGATTCTCCTCACAGTGAATTTGGCGATTGGATCTTTAAAAACTGCAGCTGCCCTTTAAAAGGGAAAGTATATAACGTATTTCTCAAGCTTATATTAAAAATCAGGTTATGCTTGTTATGTAAAACTTTAATTTTGTAACGCTACTGGAGCAGCTATTAAAACACCGATCACTGCCGATTACAAGGTCTTGGATATATAACCGTGCATGAACAACCCGAATTATCTTGCATTATACGGGCGCGAATTGCTCTAGTTGTATAGATGCAGAATTTTTTATTATTTTATTTAAAAGGTACATTTGTAGCATTTTGTTATCCATAATGGCAGAAACGTCTTAAAAAACAAACGAAAAATAGTTGATGGTAGAAGATTAATTCAAGACAAGAGATCAGCGGTATATTTTGGTGCACAAAACGAACTTGATTCAATGTTTTGTTTATTTTGAAAATGTGATATTAAAAGACACAATATTAACTGTCATTAATGCAGACATAATCTTTGCTTACATACATAAATATGCAATTTTTTAAATAAGCGTTTACTAGTGGAGCCAAGCGGTAAAAGTCGCTGAGCACTGGTAGTTTAATCCGAGGCACTAATCCCAGAGAACGGCCTGATTTCATGGGCGTTTTCGTGTATTTTCCGTATGTACCGTGCATACGAATTAGTTTCTCTTAGAAAGTCCTCCCCGAAGGCATCCGTCCTTCCCCTTAGGCAGATAACCTTTGAGTGCTTTGCCGTAACTAAATGAACCAAACCTTTTAAATAAGAGGAAGGGTAGGAAAATATAATATTTTTTATTCTCTATGGAATTAAATGTCAGCAAATTTTACATTCCTTGTTTGCCTGAGTTAGTTTGTTAATGTGACTGTAGAAATATATAAAAGTAATTCAATAAGAACGCTGACAGTATTTAGCAACATTTTGCTAGACTCTAGTTTTCATATAATTTAACGGAATTTAATATTTATGCAACATATGCTTTAATTTTTAAGTAATTATATACTAATGAATTGGAAAAAATATTTTAGAATAAATTTGGGCTGCAATTTGGTAAACAACTTAAATCATGTTAAAAATGTATTGTTATTACATTCGCAACGAATTTCAAAATTTCGGCTTTAGATTTATAATTGAAATTAATTTCTTAAATTCAATAATAGCGTTTTTCTTTCCAGATATCATAGAGTTTGACAACACTTATAGCTGGATGTTTCAGAAGGAAATTTATTGTAAAGCCGCAGTCGTGAGTCAAGATCGTCAGAGAGTTTTCCTTGTTTAATGACACGTGGCTTCAATAAAATGACCTTTATCCTGCTCTTTTTTACTTAAATTTATGCTTCAATGGAAGCCTTTCATCATTATTAATCCGCATAATGTTAGCATGCTTTAACAGAGATAAAAGGAATACATTTCATGATTGTCAGTTTCGTTGTGCATTTCACGCATTCTGTATTCTGATTATAATTGTTCAATATACTCTAATTACAATTTAAAAAATCATATTGCAATCTAAAAATTTACGTTTACAACCTATCATCTCAAATAGTTTATTTACCATTAAATATTTAAAAAGTAAATCAGTAAATAAATAATGTAAATATCAGCACTTTTTTTAAATTGCAAATACTTATGCTGTTTCTAGTATAACTTCTAAAATGGTTTTAATCAAAATAGTTATGTTAGCTTACTAGTTTAAAATCAATCCCCATTAATTTTGATCATATGAAATGAATTTTTGAAATAAGTGTTAAAACGATAACAGAAAAGCTTGCTATGATAGTGTTATCTTTTCATACATTATCACTATGTGTAGATTTATGTACTTATTGAATAAAACATAAACTTAATTATTCAAATATTGCTGTACTTTTGTTTCGCTGGATCTCTCGTGGAAGAGGCTTGCAACAATTACTTCTCTCGAATTGGCAATATATTTTTATATTTTCAAAATACAAAATCTGTTTATTAGAAACTATAAATGCTTCAAAAAAATTTCCTTCCAAAAGTTTTAAAGAAAATTTTGTTTATTAGAAACTATAAATACTTCAAAAAAGTTTCTTTCCAAAAGTTTTAAAGAAAATTCTGTTTATTAGAAACTATAAATACTTCAAAAAAGTTTCCTTCCAAAAGTTTTAAAGAAAATTCTGCTTGTTAGAAACTATAAATACTTCAAAAAAGTTTCCTTCCAAAAGTGTTAAAGAAAATTCTGTTTATTAGAAACTAGATATTTCAAAAAAGTTCCCTTTCAAAAGTTTTAAAGAAAATTCTGTTTATTAGAAACTATAAATACTTGAAAAAAGTTTCTTTCCAAAAGTTTTAAAGAAAATTCTGTTTATTAGAAACTATAAATACTTCTAAAAGTTTCCTTCGAAAAGTTTTAAAGAAAGTTTTGTTTATTAGAAACTATAAATACTTCAAAAAAGTTTCCTTCCAAAAGTTTTAAAGAAAATTCTGTTTATTAGAAACTATAAATACTTCAAAAACGTTTCCTTCCAAAAGTTTTAAAGAAAATTCTGTTTATTAGAAACTATAAATACCTGAAAAAAGTTGAAAAGAACCAATTTTAGTAGGTTTATATATATTATATAGTTAGTATGTACATATATATATATATATATACTAATATATTATATATATATACATACTAATATATCATATATGTACATATATACTTACTATGTAATTGAATAATCTTGTAAATATAAATATGTAAAAAATGTAAAATGGACCTTACAGAGCTTATACATATATATGTGGATATATATTTGTAATAATAAAATTCCATAGTCAAACTAGTAACTGTATGTTCTTTTCATTTTTAATGGCGACGTTCTCTTATTTGAAAGTACGTGGAATTAAATTCACAGCCCCGTAGTCAAGTTGTTTTTCCCGCCTTTTCTACGCGTACAGTTTTAGAATGTTCTGGAGATTTTTTAAAGCGAACTGGATTCGCTGACGAGGCTGACGTCATTCTTGGAAGCTCCGCCTTTCCAGAGGCTATAAAAAGACTCGCAAAAGGAATATCGGGGCAATGTTATCAGAATTCGATGAGATATTTACGTTTTGAGCTTGTTCTTTTCAGTTCGTTGTTACGATTTTTTTCTGAAGAATTTGATCAAGAATAATCAGAACTTGATTTTTGAAAAAGTTTATTTGACTGATTAATTACCTTCAGGTAGAAAATGTCCTTTTATAGGACACCACTCGATAGTTCTGATGAAGAGGACTACCGAAGCGAGCGTTCGTCCAAATCCAACAAGACCTATCCATTGAAGAAAGAGGATTTCATACTTATGGCCAAAGAAAAGAAAAGTAAAGCAAAAAAGGCGAAAACTATGTCAGATACGGAAAGCGAACAACCAAGTAAGAAGAAAGATGTTAAACCTGGTAAGGAAAAAAGAGACATTCAAACACAGAATGGAGAAGCTACTGATGAACAGACACCAGAAGATTTATCAATGGGAAATGATGAGGACATCTCAAAATTCAAGTCATGTTCTGAAGAAGAAATCCGGGACCAGATTGCGAAATTTGGATTTGACGTAATTTACAATTACTTTCATAAAAGAACTAAGGGTGAGATGGATGTAGAGACATTCACGAAAATATTTTATCCAGGGAAGATAACTGAAAGAGGAACAGACAGCAGGGAACAAGAATGGATTTCTCCTAAGAAAACCGCGAAAGTATCAGAAAACGAAGCTCCAATGGAAGTTACGATGGAAAATCGATTTGAGCAGCTAAGTGAAGTAGAAGGTATGGAAGAAGAAGGAGGAGTCGAAAAAGAGGAAACTCCACCCCCAATAGTTTTCCAGCAAAGCGAAGTGGATTGGCCTAAAATTCATGAAATCCTTATCAATACAGAAAAGCAACTCTGGTTTTGCAGAAAAGAAATATACCATTTCATACTTTCCAGTTACTCAACGAAAACCTATTAAGGTTGTTCTTAAGGGCCTCCCATCGACGATGAAGGAAGAAATAATCCAGGCAGATCTGGAGAGAAGGAAATTCCCGATAAGTAAAGTCAAGCAGTTTTCCAGACGAAGAGGAGACGCTATCGAGAAACTTCCAATTTTCCTGTTGGAACTGAAGAAAACGAAGGAAGGACGTGCAATTCATGGACTCAACAATATGTTAAGTGTTAATGTCAAGATCGAGAAGTTTGCCCCGAATAAACGCGTAATTCAATGCTATAGATGTCAAGAATATGGACATTCGCAACATCTTTGCTCAAATCCTGAGCGATGCTGCAAGTGTGGACAGCACCATAGAAGTAAAGAATGCCCTCTAAAGCCAGAAGAAAAACCTAAGTGCATCTTCTGGTCACTACCGCATGTAAGTTCATACAGGGGTTGCCCCGTGTACAAGAAGCGATATGAAGCAAAGAAGCAGCAGGCGAAGCCAGCAGCTAAGATCCCTACGCTGGCAGATTTTCCGAAATTCATCGAAACAGAGGAAGACAGCAGTAAAACCCAGATGAAACCTCTCCACAGTGATAGAGTAAAGAAAAAATTGGAAAACCCACCCACAGAGTACAAGGATATTATAAACTGGATCCAAGATCCTAAAATCAAAATATTTCTGAACAGTATGGTTGAGCACGTTGAGAAGATCCGCGCTGCAAAAACCACGGCTGAGAAGTTTACTGCCGGGTTCAAAGCAGCCATGACACTGATGAGATTTGCTGAAAGTGAAGAGTAATCACCAGCTTAGAAGCATTTGAGGGAATTTCACTATGTTTACGATTTCTTTCACTTTTTCAACACACAGGTTCCCCTGTTTACAGCAGCAGAGCTCGGGGTCAGTACTTGGGTGGGTGACCACCCACGTGACTGACCTCGACGTATCATCTTTCTTCAACTAGTGAAGATACATCACAGCTTGTATGGCGGCCAGATGCTCCTTCTCCAAAGTCTACTTGACCAACTCACGTGCATTAGCACATGTCCCTGCTTCACCTTTGTCGGTGCGGTGTAAATCACCTTAATTTTTAATTCTTCCCAACGCCTTAGGGCATATCTCCAACAGAGACGGTTAAAGTAGCAGAGGCTACTAAATGCCGCCTAACCATTCACTCGATTTCGATTTCGAATATCGGGGCTTTTTCTTAAATGTCACGATGCAGTAAACTTCATACAAAAAGTTATTAGTAATTCTTTTTATTTACTCCGGATATCTGATTTTTGTAACTACTATTTCTCCTGAATAATAATAAATGGATCCTGTTTTATAAACTTATCGTCTGATTATTTAAGCTACGACTACATTTATGATTCTTCAACAATCTGTTTATTTCTGACTAAAGCTGATACATCACATATATACTAATTATAAAATTCTTTTCAAAAAACATGCCTAGTATTTTCGCTCATTAAGCTGCTGAAAAATTATCAGTAAAGACATAAAGACATTAAATAATAACCACCTAAATTTAGAATTAATTTTTCATAAACGCCAAAAATTGAAATTCATAAATAATAAATTTCAAATAATACCATAAATGCAATAAAGAACTCAAAAAATGTTCAAATTAAAAACTTTTCAAGCAATCAATACGCTAATTAAAAAAATTAATGAAATTGAAAGAAATAATAGGAGATGAATTCAATCAACCTCAGTGCCACTTCGTCAGTAGAAGGAACATTGAAATCAATTGAAATCTCTCTTCTTTAAAAATCCTTGCTTTTCTGTTTCCAGAATTATCCGATGAACCATTTCAATGTATTTTAATTATAACAGTTCACTCGAAAATTCTAGCCCTTCCCAAAAGCAACGGGGGGAAAATAAAGTCAATTCTAATTAGAATCTTTTACATTAAATAAAGAGAATTCTATTTAAAGAACTGAAAACGTAAGTGAAATAATTATGAATTTCAATTTTTAGTCTTTGTGAAAAATTAGTTCTAAATTTCTTACTTTATATCTTTATGAATATATATATATACTTTATATAATAGAGAATATTTGTTAAATTTAAATATGTGTGTGTGTATATATATATATATATATATATATATATATATATATATCAATTTAAAAGTGAAGTAAAAAAGTCGAAATGTAAATTAAATATATATATATATAATTATATATATAACCATCTTCAATGAACGAATAGCTGTAAACATTAATACCTGGTACATAATGTCCTTCTCTCGCTCTAGTTTCAGCTCATACGGTACGGTTAAGAAATATGTAAATCCTGCATAATCCTATGAACATACTGTTTTTAACACTAATATTATATTTATGAATTGTACCATTAACATCAGTATAATTCTCTCAGAATCAGAAAGAGACGTGCATCTTCCTGATTAGATTTGTTGTTACCAGATAAAATAAACAATACAAAGATTTATAAAAGCAATATTTATGATGTTTTCAGAGCTAAACATATATAATTATTGAAATTAGT